ACAGCTGTCTGACACAGCTGTCTGTCACAGCTGCCTGTTACAGCTGTCTGTCACAGCTGTCTGTCACAGCTGTCTGTCACAGCTGTCTGTAACAGCTGTCTGACACAGCTGTCTGTCACAGCTCTCTGTCACAGTTGTATATCACAGCTGTCTGACGCAGCTGTCTGTCGCAGCTGTCTGACACAGCTGTCTGTCACAGCTGTCTGTTACAGCTTTATATCACAGCTGTCTTGACACAGCTGTATATCACAGCTGTCTGACACAGCTGTCTGACACAGCTGTATATCACAGCTGTCTGTCACAGCTGTATATCACAGCAGTCTGTCACAGCTGTCTGACACAGCTGTATATCACAGCTGTCTGTCACAGCTGTATATCACAGCTGTCTATCACAGCTGTCTGTCACAGCTGTCTGACACAGCTGTCTGACACAGCTGTATATCACAGCTGTCTATCACAGCTGTCTGACACAGCTGTATATCACAGCTGTCTGTCACAGCTGTTTGTCACAGCCGTCTGTCACAGCTGTATATCACAGCTGTCTGTCACAGCTGTATATCACAGCTGTCTCTCACAGCTGTCTGACACAGCTGTCTGTCACAGCTCTATATCACAGCTGTCTGTCACAGCTGTATATGAGCGCTGTCTGACACAGCTGTGACAGCTGTCTGTCACAGCTGTCTGTCACAGCTGTCTGTCACAGCTGTCTGTTACAGCTGTCTGACAGCTTCCTGTCACAGCTGTCTGACACAGCTGTCTGTCACAGCTGTATATCACAGCTGTCTGTCACAGCTGTATATCACAGCTGTCTGTCACAGCTGTATATCACAGCTGTCTGTCACAGCTGTCTGTTACAGCTGTCTGACAACTGTCTGTCACAGCTGTCTGTCACAGCTGTCTGTTACAGCTGTCTAACACAGCTGTCTGTTACAACTGTCTGACACAGCTGTCTGACATAGCTGTCTGTTACAGCTGTCTGACACAGCTGTCTGACACAGCTGTCTGTCACAGCTGCCTGTTACAGCTGTCTGTCACAGCTGTCTGTTACAGCTGTCTGTCACAGCTGTCTGTCACAGCTGTCTGTCACAGCTGTCTGTAACAGCTGTCTGACACAGCTGTCTGTCACAGCTCTCTGTCACAGTTGTATATCACAGCTGTCTGACGCAGCTGTCTGTCACAGCTGTCTGACACAGCTGTCTGTCACAGCTGTCTGTTACAGCTGTATATCACAGCTGTCTTGACACAGCTGTATATCACAGCTGTCTGACACAGCTGTCTGACACAGCTGTATATCACAGCTGTCTGTCACAGCTGTATATCACAGCAGTCTGTCACAGCTGTCTGACACAGCTGTATATCACAGCTGTCTGTCACAGCTGTATATCACAGCTGTCTATCACAGCTGTCTGTCACAGCTGTCTGACACAGCTGTCTGACACAGCTGTATATCACAGCTGTCTATCACAGCTGTCTGACACAGCTGTATATCATAGCTGTCTGTCACAGCTGTTTGTCACAGCTGCCTGTTACAGCTGTCTGACACAGCTGTCTGTCATAGCTGTATATCACAGCTGTCTGACACAGCTGTATATCACAGCTGTCTGTCACAGCTGTCTGTTACAGCTGTCTGACACAGCTGTCTGTCACAGCTGTCTGACACAGCTGTCTGACACATCTGTATATCACAGCTGTCTGACACAGCTGTCTGTCACAGCTGTATATCACAGCTGTCTGACACAGCTGCATATCACAGCTGTCTGTCACAGCTGTCTGTCACAGCTGTCTGACACAGCTGTCTGTCACAGCTGTCTGTCACAGCTGTCTGACACAGCTGTCTGACACAGCTGTATATCACAGCTGTCTGACACAGCTGTCTGTCACAGCTGTATATCACAGCTGTCTGACACAGCCGTATATCACAGCTGTCTGTCACAGCTGTCTGACACAGCTGTCTGTCACAGCTGTGTATCACAGCTGTCTGAAACAGCTGTCTGACACAGCTGTCTGTCACAGCTGTATATCACAGCTGTCTGTCACAGCTGTATATCACAGTTGTCTGACACAGCTGTATATCACAGCTGTCTGTCACAGCTGTCTGACACAGCTGTCTGTCACAGCTGTAACAGCTGTCACTGTTGTCACTGCTGTCACATTGTGAACTCGATGGACTGAGTACAACAACAACAGCCACCACCATGGGGTTTGCGGAGGGGAATAGCATGTGAGCTGCGTGAAACAGCTGCAGCAGGTACAGCAGCCGAGTGCGCTATGAGCTCGGATTGGATTTGAAACGGTGGAGGGGAGGCAGCAGCGAGTTGAGATTACGGTACCGTAAGCGATTTTTTTGGGGGGGGGGTTCTTGAGTACGGTACGATATGTTTTCATAAACTCAGGTGATCAATTAATCGGAAGCTAAGTCTCTTCATTTCTGATGATCATTGTAATCCCCTATCTTTAAATGCGGATGTAAGAATTTAACATATCCGTTACTGGCCGATTGGTAACGGATGATAATTTTGAGTGTTTAATCAATATTTAGAAATTCTGTGATGGTGGATATTCAATGTTTTTTTTGTGAATTCGAGAAAAAAATTCAAAATACTTACAGAAGATAAAAAATATAAAGTTGTCTAAAGAGTAAGGAGCATAACGCAAGCAAAACAATCAAACTGTAAGCCTCTTGTCACCTACCAACTTATTTTCAAGGCTTTCTTTTCTTCGGCACGACACAAATGCACGAAGCGTGTTGGCCGCACTTGCGCGGTACGACACGGGGTTGTTCAAAGGTACGGTGCGAAATGATGGCGCGATATGTTGTCTTTCTGAGTGCGACATCTACGGGGGGAGGGGGGGGGATGCTACAAAACGGTGCAGCGACCCGCGGACACAGCGACCCGCGGACACAGCGACCCGCGGACACAGCGACCCGGGGACACAGCGACCCGCGGACACAGCGACCCGCGGACACAGCGACCCGCGGACACAGCGACCCGCGGACACAGTGACCCGCGGACACAGCGACCCGCGGACACAGCGACCCGCGGACACAGCGACCCGCGGACACAGCGACCCGCGGACACAGCGACCCGCGGACACAGCGACCCGCGGACACAGCGACCCGCGGAGCGACCCGCGGACACAGCGACCCGCGGACACAGCGACCCGCGGACACAGCGACCCGCGGACACAGCGACCCGCGGACACAGCGACCCGCGGACACAGCGACCCGCGGACACAGCGACCCGCGGAGCGACCCGCGGACACAGCGACCCGCGGACACAGCGACCCGCGGACACAGTGACCCGCGGACACAGTGACCCGCGGACACAGCGACCCGCGGACACAGCGACCCGCGGACACAGCGACCCGCGGACACAGCGACCCGCGGACACAGCGACCCGCGGACACAGCGACCAGCGGTATTATTGACAACACGGAGGAGGGGAGGGGGAGCGAAGGGGCTCTTCTGAGGTTGCGACTGGGAAGGAATTGGCGGACGACTTTGGGTAGAAGGGACTTTCGTGCCAATTGTGGCCTCTGCGCAAGTCCAGGGCGTGGTGGTGGTGGTGGGGGGCCGATTGGAGGAAATTCAGATGTTGCAATTATGCGTTCTAACCCACACACAACAACAAACAACAACAACAACAACAAGAGATCGTGTGGTGCCACAGCAACGGAGCAACTCTGCCAGCGCTGCTATCCCGTCGCACCCCCCCGCCCCCCCCCCCCACATGAACGCACGCACACCCCCACTAAACACACACACGCACCCACGTAGGGTCTCGTGGGGGGGGGGGTCATCTAGTACCATGGGTTTTTACCGGAGGGGCCCCTAGTGGGGACGTCCCACGATTTCCCAGTACCAGGATATTGGCCGACCCCCCCCCCCCCAGGCCGAATAACATTGCGGCCCCGTGAATTAGCTTCAAATTGTATGGGCAGGACGAGCTCACTGAGCAAACCGCAGTGAGAACACCCCCAGCACAGGGGAATAGGGCCTTGGAGGGCAAACGCTCAGCGAGCAGCACATACGAGGTGGGAAGGGAAATTCCTGCGTGCTTACGGGACGGCCACCCCGATGAAACCGGTTGAGTCCGGGGGGGGGAGAACGGGTGCACAAACAATGGGTGAAGGCGCTCCGGCGATCGCCGCGTCAGGTAGGGGGCGGGGCATCGGTTTCAAATCGAAAGATAGGCGCCCGATTGGCCGGCAGGGTAACGCCACGTGACCCTGGATTTTTGGATTCGGAGGAGACAAAGGGAGGGGAGGGGAAAAACGTTAGTCAGTGCTTCTGCAGACGTTGAGCCACACGGTCGGACTCCCAGCCGCCCGCAGTGTCCGAGCGACGTGGGCGAGTGCTGCTACAACTCGACCCCATTCAGAGACCTCTCGGACTCTCGTCCCTCCGGCTCCCACCGCGTCTGTGCGACACTGTAAGCGCGTCCGCGAGGTGAGAAGCAGAGTGAGGGTCCAGCCAGGGATTGAATAGGAATAGACTGGGCGCTGCTCGCTGCTAATTTTGCTTCCCAAGGCCCTATTTCCCTGAGCTGGGGGTGTTCTCAACTGCAGTTTGCTCAGTGAGCTCGTCGTGCCCATACAATTTGAAGCTAATTCACGGGGCCGCAATGTTATTCGGCCTGGGGGGGAGGGTCGGCAAATATCCTGGTACTGGGAAATCGTGGGACGTCCCCACTAGGGCTCCTCGGGTAAAAACCCATGGTACCAGGTGACACCCCCACGAGACCCTACGTGGGTGCGTGTGTATGTTTAGTGGGGGTGTGCGTGCGTTCATGTGGGGGGGGGGTGTGCGAGGGGATAGCAGCGCTGGCAGAGTTGCTCCGTTGCTGTGGTACTCAATCGCCCGTGTGGAAACGCGTTGGGATTCTTCATTGGGCAGAATCATCGGCACGTTCAGTAAAATCAACCCCCTTGTAGGGGTTTTCAACTAAAAAGGGGACGGAGAGAAAGGATCGACTCACGCTCAGCACGACACGGCGGTTGTGAGGTTTTTATTATCGACAAGTGAACAGCGGCCACGTGAACTCAGAGACGCAACGTGTGCTTCCGTGCGTGTGAGCGCGCGTGTGTGTGTGTACGGCCACCACGAGCAGTGACAATGATCTGAACCGGTCATGGGCCTCCTCTCGATCACCTCAGCCTCAAAAAAAAAAGTCCGTGTGGTTGGTTCTCATGGTATCCGTGTGTTTGGTACCCATGCTGTCGGTGTAGATGGTTCTCATGAGGTCGGTGTAGATGTTTCTCATGCTGTCGGTGTAGATGGTTCCCATGCTGTCGGTGTAGATGTTTCTCATGCTGTCGGTGTAGATGGTTCTCATGCTGTCGGGGTAGATGGTTCTCATGCTGTCGGTGTAGATGTTTCTCATGCTGTCGGTGTAGATGGTTCCCATGCTGTCGGGGTAGATGGTTCTCATGCTGTCGGTGTAGATGGTTCTCATGCTGTCGGGGTAGATGGTTCTCATGCTGTCGGTGTAGATGTTTCTCATGCTGTCGGTGTAGATGGTTCCCATGCTGTCGGGGTAGATGGTTCTCATGCTGTCGGGGTAGATGGTTCCCATGTGGTGCCCGCATGCCTAGTTGGCGCTCATGGTGTCGGCGATCCAGGCGTTGTAGTTGCACACCTTGGTGTAGACTCCCGGGTAGTTGGGTTCCGCACAGCCGCGTCCCCACGACACGATGCCCTGCAGCTCCCCGTTGCACACCACGGGGCCTCCGGAGTCTCCCTGCACCCAGCGGGGAGAGGGGATTTGAGGGGAGGGGGGGGGCGCATTAAGCTGGGCGCCGGTGGCTGTGCCCCACGCGAGGGTTGGGGGATCGAGCACAGATTCCGGTTACGGTGGCAGTGCAGCAAGTTGGGGTAGTAGGGTAGCAGTGCAGCAAGTGGCGTAGTAGGGTGGCAGTGCAGCAAGTGGGGTAGTAGGGTGGCAGTGCAGCAAGTGGGGTAGTAGGGTGGCAGTGCAGCAAGTGGGGTAGTAGGGTGGCAGTGCAGCAAGTGGGGTAGTAGGGTGGCAGTGCAGCAAGTGGGGTAGTAGGGTAGCAGTGCAACAAGTGGGGTAGTAGGGTGGCAGTGCAGCAAGTGGGGTAGTAGGGTGGCAGTGCAGCAAGTGGGGTAGTAGGGTGGCAGTGCAGCAAGTGGGGTAGTAGGGTGGCAGTGCAGCAAGTGGGGTAGTACGGTGGCAGTGCAGCAAGTGGGGTAGTAGGGTGGCAGTGCAGCAAGTGGGGTAGTAGGGTAGCAGTGCAGCAAGTGGGGTAGTAGGATGGCAGTGCAAGAAGTGGGATCATAGGGTGGTAGTGCAGCAAGTGGGGTAGTAGGGTGGCAGTGCAGCAAGTGGGGTAGTAGGATGGCAGTGCAACAAGTGGGATCATAGGGTGGTAGTGCAGCAAGTGGGGTAGTAGGATGGCAGTGCAACAAGTGGGATCATAGGGTGGTAGTGCAGCAAGTGGGGTAGTAGGATGGCAGTGCAACAAGTGGGATCATAGGGTGGCAGTGCAGCAAGTGGGGTAGTAGGGTGGCAGTGCAGCAAGTGGGGTAGTAGGGTGGCAGTGCAGCAAGTGGGGTAGTAGGGTAGCAGTGCAACAAGTGGGGTAGTAGGGTGGCAGTGCAGCAAGTGGGGTAGTAGGGTGGCAGTGCAACAAGTGGGATCATAGGGTGGTAGTGCAGCAAGTGGGGTAGTAGGGTGGCAGTGCAACAAGTGGGGTAGTAGGATGGCAATGCAACAAGTGGGATCATAGGGTGGTAGTGCAGCAAGTGGGGTAGTAGGATGGCAGTGCAACAAGTGGGATCATAGGGTGGTAGTGCAGCAAGTGGGGTAGTAGGGTGGCAGTGCAGCAAGTGGGGTAGTAGGGTGGCAGTGCAGCAAGTGGGGTAGTACGGTGGCAGTGCAGCAAGTGGGGTAGTAGGGTGGCAGTGCAGCAAGTGGGGTAGTAGAGTAGCAGTGCAGCAAGTGGGGTAGTAGGATGGCAGTGCAACAAGTAGGATCATAGGGTGGTAGTGCAGCAAGTGGGGTAGTAGGGTGGCAGTGCAGCAAGTGGGGTAGTAGGATGGCAGTGCAACAAGTGGGATCATAGGGTGGTAGTGCAGCAAGTGGGGTAGTAGGGTAGCAGTGCAGCAAGTGGGGTAGTAGGGTGGCAGTGCAACAAGTGGGGTAGTAGGGTGGCAGTGCAGCAAGTGGGGTAGTAGGGTGGCAGTGCAGCAAGTGGGGTAGTAGGATGGCAGTGCAACAAGTGGGATCATAGGGTGGCAGTTCAACAAGTGGGGTAGTAGGGTAGCAGTGCAGCAAGTGGGGTAGTAGGGTGGCAGTGCAGCAAGTGGGGTAGTAGGGTGGCAGTTCAACAAGTGGGGTAGTAGGGTAGCAGTGCAGCAAGTGGGGTAGTAGGGTGGCAGTGCAACAAGTGGGGTAGTAGGGTGGCAGTGCAGCAAGTGGGGTAGTAGGGTGGCAGTGCAGCAAGTGGGGTAGTAGGGTGGCAGTGCAGCAAGTGGGGTAGTAGGGTGGCAGTGCAGCAAGTGGGGTAGTAGGGTGGCAGTGCAGCAAGTGGGGTAGTAGGGTGGCAGTGCAGCAAGTGGGGTAGTAGGATGGCAGTGCAACAAGTGGGATCATAGGGTGGTAGTGCAGCAAGTGGGGTAGTAGGGTAGCAGTGCAGCAAGTGGGGTAGTAGGGTGGCAGTGCAACAAGTGGGGTAGTAGGGTGGCAGTGCAGCAAGTGGGGTAGTAGGGTGGCAGTGCAGCAAGTGGGGTAGTAGGGTGGCAGTGCAGCAAGTGGGGTAGTAGGGTGGCAGTGCAGCAAGTGGGGTAGTAGGATGGCAGTGCAACAAGTGGGATCATAGGGTGGTAGTGCAGCAAGTGGGGTAGTAGGGTGGCAGTGCAGCAAGTGGGGTAGTAGGGTGGCAGTGCAACAAGTGGTGTAGTAGGGTGGCAGTGCAGCACGTGGGGTAGTAGGGTGGCAGTGCAGCAAGTGGGGTAGTAGGGTGGCAGTGCAGCAAGTGGGGTAGTAGGGTGGCAGTGCAGCAAGTGGGGTAGTAGGGTGGCAGTACAACAAGTGGCGTAGTAGGGTTGCAGTGCAGCAAATGGTGATGCCCCTCCCCTGGTGCTTCTCTGGTTTCCTCTCACATTGTAAAAACGTTGGATGAGTGGGGTAGGTGAGTGGGGTAAGAGAGTGGGGTAGGTGAGTTGGTGTAGGTGAGTGGGGTAGGTGAGAGTGAGGTCTGTGATAGTGGGGTAGGTGAGTGGGGGTAGGTGATTGGGGTAGGTGAGTGGGGTAGGTGAGTGGGGGTAGGTGATAGTGGGATAGGTGAAAGTGGGTAGGTGAGTGAGGTAGGTGAGAGTGGGGTAGGTGAGTGGGGTAGGTGAGAGTGGGTAGGCGAGTGGGGTAGGTGAGTTAGGGATAGGTGAGTTGATTGTGTGAGTGGGGTAGGTGAGTGCGGTAGGCGAGAGTGAGGTAGATGAGTGAGGTAGGTGAGAGTTGGGTAGATGAGGTGAGTAGGTGAATGGGGTAGGTGAGAGTGGGGTAGGTGAGTATTGTAGCAGAATGGGGTAGGTGATTGAGGGGTAAGTGAGTGAGATAGGTGAGTGGGGTAGGTGAGAGTGGGGTAGGTGAGTGGGGTAAGAGAGTGGGGTAGGTGAGAGTGGGGTAGGTGAGTGAGGTAGGTGAGTGAGGTAATAAAGTGGGGTAGGTGAGTTGGTGTAGGTGAGTGAGGTAGGTGAGTGGGGTAGGTGAGTGGGGTCGGTGAGTGGGGTAGGTGAGTGGGGGTAGGTGAGTAGGGTAGGAGAGCAGGGTAGGTGAGTGGTGTAGGTGAGTGAGGTAGGTGAGAGTGGGGTCTGTGATAGTGGGGTAGGTGAGTGGAGTAGGTGAGTTGGTGTAGGTTAGTGGGGTAGGTGAGTGGAGTAGGTGAGAGTGTGGTAGGTGAGAGCTGGGTAGGTGATAGTGGGGTAGGTGAGAGTGGGTTAGGTGAGTTGGTTAGTCGAGTGGGGGTAGGTGAGAGTGTGGTAGGTTAAAGTGGGGTAGGTGAGTGAGGAAGGTGAGAGTGGGGTAGGTCAGTGGGGTAGGTGAATGGGGGTAGGCGAGTGGGGTAGGTGAGTGGGGGTAGGTGAGTGGGGGTAGGTGAGTGGGGTAGGTGAGTGGGGTAGGTGAATGGGGGTAGGCGAGTGGGGTAGGTGAGTGGGGGTGGGTGAGTGGGGTAGGTGAGTAAGGTAGGTGAGTGAGGGAGGTGAATGGGGTAGGTGAGAATGGTGCAGGTGTGTGGGGTAGGTGAGTCGGGTAGTTAAGAGTGGGGTAGGTGAGTGGGGTAGGTGAGTGGGGTAGGTGAGTGGGGTAGGTGAGTGGGGGTAGGTGAGTGGGGTAGGTGAGTGAGGTAAGTGAGTTGGGGTAGGTGAGTGGGGTAGGTGAGAGTGGTGTCGATGTGTGAAGTAGGTGAGTGAGGTAGGTGAGAGTGGGGTAAGTGAGTGGGGTTGGTGAGTTGGGGTAAGTTAGTGGGGTAGGTGAGTGGGGTAGGTGAGTGGGGGTAGGTGACAGTGTGGTAGGTGAAAGTGGGGTAGGTGAGTGGGGTAGGTGAGTGGGGTAGGTGAGTGGGGCAGGTGAGAGTGGGGTAGGTGAGTGGGGTAGGTGAGTTGGGGTAAGTGAGTGGGGTAGGTGAGTGGGGTAGGTGAGTGGGGTAGGTGAGTGGGGTAGGTGAGAGTGGCGAGGTGAGTGGGGTAGGTGAGTTGGCGTAAGTGAGTGGGGTAGGTGAGTGGGGTAGGTGAGTGGCGGTAGGCGAGTGGGGTAGGTGAGTGGGGGTAGGTGAGTGGGGGTAGGTGAGTGGGGTAGGTGAGTGAGGTAGGTGAGTTGGGGTAGGTGAGTGGGGTAGGTGAGAGTGGTGTCGATGTGTGAGGTAGGTGAGTGAGGTAGGTGAGAGTGGGATAAGCGAGTTGGGTAGGTGAGTTGGGGTAAGTGAGTCGGGTAGGTGAGTGGGGTAGTTGGGTGGCAGTGCAGCAAGTGGGGTAGTAGGTTGGTAGTGCAGCAAGTGGGGGTAGTAGGGTGGCAGTTAGTGGGGTAGGTGAGTGGGGGTAGGTGAGAGTGTGGTAGGTGAAAGTGGGGTAGGTGAGTGGGGTAGGTGAGTGGGGGTAGATGAGTGGGGTAGGTGAGTGGGGTAGGTGAGTGGGAGTAGGTGATTGGGGGTAGGTGAGTGCGGTAGGTGAGTGAGGTAGGTGAGTTGGGTAGGTGAGTGGGGTAGGTGAGAGTGGTGTAGGTGAGTGAGATAGGTGAGTTGGGTAGGTGAGAGCGGGGTAGGTGAGTGAGGGTAGGCGAGTGGGGTAGGTGAGTTGGGGTAGGTGAGTGGGGTAGTTGAGAGTGGTGTCGGTGAGTGAGGTAGGTGAGTGTGGTAGGTGAGTGAGGTAGTTGAGAGTGGTGTCGGTGAGTGGGGTAGGTGAGTGAGGGTAGGTGAGTGGGGTAGGTGAGTGAGGTAGGTGAGTGGGGTAGGTGAGAGTGTGGTAGGTGAGTGAGGTAGGTTAGAGTGGGGTAAGTGAGTCGGGTAGGTGAGTGGGGTAGGTGAGTGGGGTAGGTGAGTGGGGTAAGATATTGGGGTAGATGAGAGTGGGGTAGTTGAGTTGTGGTAAGTGAGCGGGGTCAGCGAGCACCTGGCACGAGTCCTTGCCGCCCTCCATGTACCCCAGGCACACCATGTTGTCCGTGATGTCTCCCGGGTAGCCGGACTCGCAGTCCGCCACGCTCAGCACCGGCGCCTCCACGCACATCAGCACGTCCGGGCTGCCTGGGGACCCGGGGGTAGCGGGGGGGGGGGGCGTTGAAGAGACAGAGTGAGGAGACACGGTGAGGAGAATGGAGACAACGTGGATGGAGACACGTGGATGGAGACACGTGGATGGAGACACGTGGATGGAGACGCGTGGATGGAGACACGTGGATGGAGACGCGTGGATGGAGACATGGTGAGGAGACACGTGGATGGAGAGACAGGTGGATGGAGACACGTGTATGGAGACATGGTGAGGAGACACGTGGATGGAGAGACACGTGGATGGAGACACGTGTATGGAGACACGTGTACTTGTACCTATGGGAGTCTCGGTCTCGCCCCAGCCCGAGATGGTGCACATGACGCCCACGGCTGCGCAGGCGGTGGGCAGGGCCACGGGCTGCGCGTATGCGTTGAGCGTGGCCGGCTTGGCCAGCTTCACCAGCATGATGTCGTTGTCGATGGTGCTGGAGACGTAGCCCGGGTGACGGATCGCCTTGGAGGCCTGGATCCACTGTTCGGTGCCCTCGCTAGCGAAGATGTTGTGCTCGCCGATGCGCACGGAGATACGGGACGCGCTGAGGGGGGACAGGCGGGTGGAAGGGGGGTAGACGTGGACGAGCTCACTACAACACACCACACGCCTCACCACCCGCGCCTCACCACGTGGTCTACTGTGACGACACCTCACACCTCACCATGTGGTTTACTCTGACGATACCTCACACCTCACACCTCACCACGTGGTCTACTCTGACGACACTTCACACCTCACCATGTGGTCTACTCTGACGACACTTCACACCTCACCACGTGGTCTACTGTGACGACATCTCACACCTCACCACATGGTCTACTATGACGACACTTCACACCTCACCACGTGGTCTACTGTGACGACACCTCACACCTCACCAAGTGGTCTACTCTGACGACACTTCACACCTCACCACGTGGTCTACTGTGACGACATCTCACACCTCACCATGTGGTCTACTCTGACGACATCTCGCACCTCACCATGTGGTCTACTCTAACGACACTTCACACGTCACCACGTGGCCTACTGTGACGACACCTCACACCTCACCATGTGGCCTACTGTGACGACACCTCACACCTCACCACGTGGTCTACTGTGACGACACCTCACACCTCACCACGTGGTCTACTGTGACGACACCTCACACCTCACCATGTGGCCTACTGTGACGACACCTCTCCTCACACCTCACCATAATACTCACCATGCTCCTCACCACCTGACCTATTGTGAATACACCTTACCACACGCCAGACCGCACGCTTTCACCACACCTCACCACACCTCACCACACCTCACCCGCCCCCCACTCACGTCTGGTAGCAGTGAGCAGCGGACACAACCCACTCGTCGCTGATGAGGGAGCCGCCACAGAAGTGGTAGCCGATGTTGAGGGACACCTGCCACGCTTGGGAGTGGGGGACGCACTCCACGCCACCCACAATGTGGTCTCCTCCTCCTCCCAAGGGAGCCGCCACTGGAAGGAGACACGTGGACGGAGACACGTGGAGATACATACAGACACGTGGAGATGCATAGAGACACGTGGAGATACATAGAGACACGTGGAGATACATACAGACACGTAAAGATGCATAGAGACGCGTGTAGATACATAGAGACACGTGGAGATACATACAGACACGTGGCGATAAATAGAGACACGTGGAAATACATACAGACACGTGGACATACATAGAGACACGTGGAGATACATACAGACACGTAGAGATACATACAGACACGTGGAGATAGATAAGGACACGTGGAGATACATACAGATACGTGGAGATACATAGAAACACGTGGAAATACATACAGACACGTGGACATACATAGAGACACGTGGAGATACATACAGACACGTAGAGATACATACAGACACGTGGAATTACACACAGACACGTGGAGATAGATACAGACACGTGGAGATACATACAGATACGTGGAGATACATACAGACACGCGGAGATCCATACATCCACGTGGGGATACATACAGACACGTGGACATACATACAGACACGTGGAGATACATGCAGACACGTGGAGATACATGCAGACACGTGGAGATACATAGAGACACGTGGAGATACATACAGACACGTGGAGATACATACAGAAACGTGGACATACATATAGACACGTGGAGATACATACAAGCACACGTGGAGATACATACAAACACGTGGAGTTACACACATACACGTGGAGATACATAGAGACACGTGGAGATACATACAGACACGTGGAGATACATACAGCCACGTGGAGATATATACAGACACGTAGAGATACATACAGGCACGTGGAGATACATACAGACACGTGGGGATACATACAGACACGTGGAGTTCCACACAGACACGTGGGGATACATACAGACGCGTGGAGATACATACAGACACGTGGAGATACATACAGACACGTGGGGATACATAGAGACACGTGGAGATACATACATACACGTGGAGATAAATAGAAACACTTGGAGATACATAAAGACACTTGGAGATACATACAGACACTTAGAGATGCATAGAGACACGTGGAGATACATAGATACACGTGGAGATACATACAGACACGTGGAGATAAATAGAGACACGTGGAGATACATAGAGACACGTGGAGATACATACAAACACGTGGAGATACATACAGACACGTGGACATACATAGAGACATGTGGAGATACATACAGACACGTAGAGATACATAGAGACACGTGGAGATACATACAGACACGTAGAGATACATAGAGACAAATGGAGATACATAGAAACACGTGTAGATACATACAGACACGTAAAGATACATAGAGACGCGTGTAGATACATAGAGACACGTGGAGATACATACAGACACGTGGAGATAAATAGAGACACGTGGAAATACATACAGACAGGTGGACATACATAGAGACACGTGGAGATACATACAGACACGTAGAGATACATAGAGACACGTGGAGATACATACAGACACGTGGAGATACATACAGACAGGTGGCGATACATACTGACATGCGGACATACATACAGTCACGTGGAGATATATACAGACACGTGGAGTTCCACACAGACACGTGGGGATACATACAGACACGTGGAGATACATAGAGACACGTGGACATACATACAGACACGTGGACATACATACAGACACGTGGAGATACATACAGCCACGTGGATATACATAGAGACACGTGGAGATACATACAGACACGTAGAGATGCCTAGAGACACGTGGAGATACATAAAGACACGTGGAGATACATACAGACACATGGAGATAAATAGAGACACTTGGAGAAAAATACAGACACGTGGAGATACATAGAGACACGTGGAGATACATAGAGACACGTGGAGATACATACAAACACGTGGGGATACATACAGACACGTGGACATACATACAGACACGTGGAGATACATGCAGACACGTGGAGATACATGCAGACACGTGGAGATACATAGAGACACGTGGAGATACATACAGACACGTGGAGATACATACAGAAACGTGGACATACATATAGACACGTGGAGATACATACAAGCACACGTGGAGATACATACAAACACGTGGAGTTACACACATACACGTGGAGATACATAGAGACACGTGGAGATACATACAGACACGTGGAGATACATACAGCCACGTGGAGATATATACAGACACGTAGAGATACATACAGGCACGTGGAGATACATACAGACACGTGGGGATACATACAGACACGTGGAGTTCCACACAGACACGTGGGGATACATACAGACGCGTGGAGATACATACAGACACGTGGAGATACATACAGACACGTGGGGATACGTAGAGACACGTGGAGATACATACATACACGTGGAGATAAATAGAAACACTTGGAGATACATAAAGACACTTGGAGATACATACAGACACTTAGAGATGCATAGAGACACGTGGAGATACATAGAGACACGTGGAGATACATACAGACACGTAGAGATAAATAGAGACACGTGGAGATACATAGAGACACGTGGAGATACATACAAACACGTGGAGATACATACAGACACGTGGACATACATAGAGACATGTGGAGATACATACAGACACGTAGAGATACATAGAGACACGTGGAGATACATACAGACACGTAGAGATACATAGAGACAAATGGAGATACATAGAAACACGTGTAGATACATACAGACACGTAAAGATACATAGAGACGCGTGTAGATACATAGAGACACGTGGAGATACATACAGACACGTGGAGATAAATAGAGACACGTGGAAATACATACAGACAGGTGGACATACATAGAGACACGTGGAGATACATACAGACACGTAGAGATACATAGAGACACGTGGAGATACATACAGACACGTGGAGATACATACAGACAGGTGGCGATACATACTGACATGCGGACATACATACAGCCACGTGGAGATATATACAGACACGTGGAGTTCCACACAGACACGTGGGGATACATACAGACACGTGGAGATACATAGAGACACGTGGACATACATACAGACACGTGGACATACATACAGACACGTGGAGATACATACAGACACGTGGAGATACATACAGCCACGTGGATATACATAGAGACACGTGGAGATACATACAGACACGTAGAGATGCCTAGAGACACGTGGAGATACATAAAGACACGTGGAGATACATACAGACACGTGGAGATAAATAGAGACACTTGGAGAAAAATACAGACACGTGGAGATACATAGAGACACGTGGAGATACATAGAGACACGTGGAGATACATATAAACACGTGGAGATACATACAGACACGTGGACATACATAGAGACACGTGGAGATACATACAGACACGTAGAGATATATAGAGACATATGGAGATACATAGAAACACGTGTAGATACATGCAGACACGTAAAGATACATAGAGATGCGTGTAGATACATAGAGACACGTGGAGATACATACAGACACGTGGAGATAAATAGAGACACGTGGAAATACATACAGACACGTAGAGATACACACAAACACGTGGAATTACACACAGACACGTGGAAATACATACAGACACGTGGAGATCCATACATCCACGTGGGGATACATACAGACACGTGGACATACATACAGACACGTGGAGATACATGCAGACACGTGGAGATACATGCAGACACGTGGAGATACATAGAGACACGTGGAGATACATACAGACACGTGGAGATACATACAGACACGTGGACATACATATAGACACTCGGAGATACATACAAGCACACGTGGAGATACATACAAACACGTGGAGTTACACACAGACAGGTGGAGATACATAGAGACACGTGGAGATACATACAGACACGTGGAGATACATACAGCCACGTGGAGATACATACAGCCACATGGAGATACATACAGACACGTGAAGATACATACAGACAGGTGGCGATACATACAGACACGCGGACATACATACAGCCACGTGGAGATACATACAGACACGTGCAGATACATACAGACACGTGGAGATATATACAGACACGTGGAGATACATACAGACACGTGGAGTTCCACACAGACACGTGGGGATACATACAGACACGTGGAGATATATACAGCCACATAGAGATACATACAGACACGTGGAGATACATACAGACACGTGGACATACATACAGACACGTGGAGATACATACAAGCACACGTGGAGATACATACAAACACGTGGAGTTACACACAGACACGTGGAGATACATACAGACAGGTGGCGATACATACAGACACGCGGACATACATACAGCCACGTGGAGATACATACAGACACGTGCAGATACATACAGACACGTGGAGATATATACAGACACGTGGAAATACATACAGACACGTGGAGTTCCACACAGACACGTGGGGATACATACAGACACGTGGAGATATATACAGCCACATAGAGATATATACAGACACGTGGAGATACATACAGACACGTGGACATACATACAGACACGTGGAGATACATACAAGCACACGTGGAGATACATACAAACACGTGGAGTTACACACAGACACGTGGAGATACATAGAGACACGTGGAGATACATACAGACACGTGGAGATACAGACACCTTGAGATACATAGAGACACGTTGAGATACATACACACACGTGGAGTTACACACAGACACGTGGAGATACATACAGACACGTGGAGATACATACAGACACGTGGAGATACATACAGACACGTGGAGTTACACACAGACACGTGGGGATACATACAGACACATAAAGATACATACAGACACGTTTAGATACATACAGACACGTGGAGATACATACAGACACGTGGACATACATAGAGACACGTGGAGATACATACAGACACGTAGAGATACATAGAGACACGTGGAGATACATACAGACACGTAGAGATACATAGAGACACGTGGAGATACATAGAGACACGTGTAGATACATACAGACACGTGGAGATACATACAGACACCTGGAGATACATAGAGACACGTGGAGATACATAGAGACACGTGGAGATGCATACAGACACGTAAAAATACATACAGACACGTAAGATACATTGAGACGCGTGTAGATACATACAGACACGTGGACATACATAGAGACACGTGGAGATGCATACAGACACGTAGAGATACATACAGACACGTGGAATTACATACAGACACGTGGAGATAGATACAGACACGTGGAGATACATAGAGACACGTGGGGATACATACAGATACGTGGAGATACATACAGACACGTGGAATTACACACAGACACGTGGAGATACATACAGATACGTGGAGATATATACAGACACATGGAGATCCATAGAGACACGTGGAGATACATACAGACACGTCGACATACATACAGACACGTGGAGATACATGCAGACACGTGGAGATACATGCAGACACGTGGAGATACATGGAGACACGTGGAGATACATAGAGACACGTGGAGATACATAGAGACACGTGGAGATACATACAGACACGTGGACATACATATAGACACGTCGAGATACATACAAGCACACGTGGAGATACATACAAACACGTGGAGTTACACACAGACACGTGGAGATACATACAGCCACGTGGAGATACATACAGACACGTGGTGATATATACAGACACGTGGAGATATATACAGACACATGGAGATACATACAGCCACGTGGAGATACATACAGACAGGTGGCGATAGATACAGACACGCGGACATACATACAGCCACGTGGAGATATATACAGACACGTGGAGATACATACAGACACGTGGACATACATACAGACACGTGGACATACATACAGACACGTGGAGGTACATACAAACACGTGGAGTTACACACAGACACGTGGAGATACATAGAGACACGTGGAGATACATACAGACACAGAGATACATACAGACACGTGGAGATACATACAGACACGTGGACATACATACAGACACGTGGAGATACATACAAACACGTGGAGTTATACACAGACACGTGGAGATACATACAGCCACGTGGAGATACATACAGACAGGTGGAGATACATACAGACACGTGGAGTTACACACAGACACGTGGGGATACATACAGACAGGTGGCGATACATACAGACACGTGGAGATACACGCAGACACGTGGAGATACATACAGACACGTGGAGATACATACATAGGCGTGGAGATACATACATAGGCGTGGAGATACATACAGACACGTGGAGGAGATACGTGAGGACATGGAGATACAGGGACACACGGTGCATTACGTGGACACGGTATCCACGGTGGGACACGGCGAGCAACGGCGAGGTCACGTAGCTCAATCACCCAGCTGGGGAGTGCACATCGGTGAAGGTGGAGAGAGAGCGCAGAGCAGCGGCTGCCCTCAACTGATCTCCGCAGAAGCAGCCGACAGCACCCGCTATGCCGAGCGGGTCGCCTGCCAAGCTCTGCGCAGCCTCAAACCTGCCTAGTTTTCTGACAACGGGCACTTTCCAGGCAATGTGGCCACAAGCCCAGATAATTGTCTATCGCGTGGTTTGCTGTGCCAAGTCTCTCTCTCGATTTACAGCTTTCGTGACTGCAAGGATTCATCTTCTTTGGTTCTTTCGGTTAAAGTCACCACGTAGAATGAGAATAAAATAATAAAATAAAAAAACACAATAATATTCTCACGACGTTTCGGCCACAACACAAGCGGCCTTCAGGTGAAGGGGACGAGACTGTCTGGTAGGACAGCGCTGGAGTGTGGCTTTCTCACTCCAGCGCTGTCCTCCAGACAGTCTCGTCCCCTTCACCTGATGAAGGCCGCTTGTGTTGTGGCCGAAACGTCGTGAGAATATTATTGTGTTATTTTATTTTATCAATTTATTATTTTATTCTCATTCTACGTGACTTTAACCGAAAGAACCAAAGAAGAAGTCTCTCTCTGTGCGTCTCGGACCTCCTGGCCTGGCCCGGCCCATCGTCTCGCCGCTTGGGTTTCTGGGCACCGCGTACAATCTGCTCTCCTGTAACGCCGCGTGCTTTCAAGACGCGATTTTGGTATAACGTGATTAATGTTTTAGGGAACAGATTTTTTTATATATATAATGCAGATGCGAATTGGATATAACGCGATTTAGTGAACGGAACTACATCGCGCAGGTAGGAGTAAGCGGTCGTACGGCTTAGTATCATCACACAAGGCAATTGGGATGCTTTGTTCAGCCTGCGTACGCATCTCACGCGATATCGTGGACTGTGCGCTACCCTTTCTCATTTGTCTCGCTTTGCGTATAACTTTTTTTCTTTTAATTACACTGAGCGGCTTCACGACTAACACTGTAACTAATTTTTCACTCATTTTCGGGTTATATGATTAATTATATTATTAAACTAAAACACAGTAATTGTAAAAGAACACGTAAAATGAACAATAATATAACACATTATCAGTCTTGTTCGTGTTTTTGAAACCTACTACCCCCTAAACCCTTAAGTCCCCATTGAATCAACGCTTATCATA